TTTTCTTTATCATATATCAAATTATATTTGATTACTTATTATATATAGAAAATATAAGTGGATATAAATATAGTAAGGTATATATACATATGTTAGATTCAAAAATTATAAATGAGAAGTATGGTTTCAAGTACTACAATTACGTACAAATGAGAAATGAACTTTTTAGTTTTGTGACATAATTATAAAGTTTCGGTATACCAATATATAGAGATAAAAAGGAAACCATTTCTGTATATGATAAATACTCGTATTATATAAAGTTTGATTATAAAAAGGGAATCATCTTTTCGCATTTTAAGAAATTAATAATTAAATAAAGAGAATTGAAACTATTTTGATTATATAGGTAAGGAATTGAAACTATTCTGATTAAATAAAGATAATTAAATAGGTAAGGATACAAATTTGTAAAAGCGTCCAGTATGTTCGAAATTCATAAATGTAGCCTCATAAATTCAGAAATTTACTTTTTAATAAAGTAAATTCGAACCGATTATACACAAGTACTTAATAAAGTAGTTATATGTTGATATTATTATCTACATAAGTTAGGTAATTAAATTCGAATATTATAAACTATAATGGGTTAGATTTTAATTAGTGTTAACTAGTGGTTAATAAGTGAAGTACGATAAACTTGAAGAAATAAAATGAATAAATTAAAAGGGTAAAGATTGATGTGTGATTTTTAATAAGTTTAAGTCAGCAACACGAATTGTAGATATACGGATCGGAATTTTATTTTTTTTTTAAAAAGTATTACTCTGTATATAATAAGTTGTAGTTTTAGCCAATTGAAATGATAGTAATTTGAAATGAAAAGTACTATTATAATAATTATATGAATTTATGAGAAATAATACTAAGAATTTTAATGAATAAAGACAAAGGAATTTGGAACCTTGTTTCTGGATTTGGATAGGTTGTCATGCCAACAGGGATAATTAACACGGCCGTAGAATTTGATCAATGATTTCGGGTCCGTAGCCACCGAGTGGACAGCACCCAAATCTTGATATTTGATACACGCGCGCTTCTATACGGGTCCGTAGCCACCGAGTGTACAGTACCCAAAATGTTCGTTTACAGGTCCGTAGCCACCGAGTGGACAGTACCCAAACAAACCCAACTGGCCAGAGCCACCGAGTGGCCCGTGCCAAAATAGTTCTCTGATGGTCCGTAGCCACCGAGTGGACAGTACCAGAGATGAGAACGTTACGTTTATCCAGTCCATTAAATTAAGGAGGAAAATTCCTGAAAATGAGAAATGCGTAGAAATTTGATTTGGAAATACAAGTTGAGAAAATCGGAATGGTTCATTGAAAAGTGAAAAATGCTAAAAGCATACAGAGTATATTTTAATTTTGAGATACTCTATATTCTGAAATATATGATAATAGTTCCCTTGAGCGAATTGTGTTATTATTTTGCTAATTTATTATTAAGTTTCATAATCTATGAAGAAAGTTGTATTTTCAAACCCGGATTTATAAGCTGCTTTGGTATATTATTGTTACAAATTATGTTGGTTCATTGTGACAAATTTTTATATGAGAAAGAATGAACACCACTAAGCAAGATTTGCTTAGCGCGTTGGATTTTTGTCCTTCGCGTAGGTCAATAAGTGCTACGAGGCGGAACTCAAGTCGGGATGCATTTGGGAGCAGCAACCAATCATCAAAGAGTCACATTTGCTCAGTAGTAATAATCCATCTTTAGTTGCATAATAAGTGCTCATTTAGCATATGAGTGTGTAAGATAAATAAACATGAGATTGTTTAATTTTCATGGATGTATTTGGTTATTCCAAAATCTAGAACTACCTGTTATGTAATATATTTATGCTTCCGCAATTCATGGATTTGAAAAATATATATATTAGTATTTTCACTTAAAAACAATTAAAAGTATAAATAAAGAAATAGTTAGTTAGCGCTTTGGTGCTCCGGCACTGCGGGTAGCGCTCCTTGCCCTCAGCCGTCTGGGCTGGGTAGGGGGTGTTACATTAAGTGTGGGAGAATCTGATAAGTCCGTATTTAGACATGCATTTAATGCGTGTTGGGGTCGGATTTTGATGGTTTTCCTAGATTTAAGGTGTTACAAGTCTCAATTTTAGCTCAAGTTTTGTTTACCGGACGTTGGTTCGAGTTTTGTGTTGTTTGGAGTCAAAATCAGGGAATTTGAGCCCAACACCGGTGCTTGAGGAGCAAACGGGATGATTCGAGAAGCATTCAAGAGTGAATTGAGAGCATTGTAGGTCACCGGGAGGTTCACGATGAAGATTTGAAGGAAAAAAATTCTAGGATTGGCTACGGGATCAAAAGAAGACAAAGAGAGCTTAAAAACGGTGTTCAGGATGACCTTCTGTCAATCGTTCAAGCATATATCTTTGTAGAAGCGTTAAAAGGACACGATTCAAGTTGCATCTGAAAGCCAACTTCAAGGGCTACAAATCATATGAAGACTTCATTCCGAGAATCTGAAAGGAAGAAGGTGAAAACAGACGATGAATTCAGATGCTCCCTGTTGCGATTTCAGAATGAAACATTCCACCATTTTATTCATATCTCTTGATTGGATGATTCAAATCAAATTCGGCAAATTGGGGTGGATAGAAGACTTCATTATCTACAACTTTCATGAATGAATTTTTGTCAAATTCGGACTAGATAAGCCGGAAAACGCACTGGTAGACACGTACGTGTGCGTGGTGGGACGCACGCGTGCGTCCAACGATTTTATGCGTTTCTCTGTCGGACGCACGGACGCAACGCACGCGTGCGTAGGCGCCTTGCGTACTTAATTTATTTCCTAATTTAGCCCAAATCACTATGTTTCCTATAAATATCACCCCCTTAACCCTAATGAAGGGGGTGGAACTTTAAAGAGAGATTAAGGACGAGATTAGAGAGTTTTTTCAGCCAGGTTTTTCAATTCCTTAACATTCTTTGTAAATTCTTACTTTTTGATTAATGACAATTAATTCTATTTATCCTAATTCTATTGATTCTTCAATTATGAATAGGGAGTAGTTTTAATTAGGGATTTGGGGTTGATGAAGGGGTTAATCATGATGTATGGTTAGGTTCTTGATGGTGTAAATTGCATGAATGCCGTTTAATTTGTGTTTGAATAATTTAATTGATATCTTTTGTAACCTAGAATGGCCACTAGAATTACAATTGCTTATAGAATAAATTAAGAGAGATCTAATTTGTTCTAGGACACATTCACACACACTTAATCGTTCGTTAAGAGATTAGTAGCGATTAAGGGGCCGTAAGCTCATTCGTCTTGGCAATAATTTAGGATCATGTCGCATGAGAGATCAGCCTGGTCCCCTAAATTATTGTACTCTACGCCGCGAGAGCGGTAAGAACTTAGTATTGATTAGCTAGGCTCAATTAAATTAAATTCATGTAATTAAGCCTGATCTGCCAGAAATCTGATTACCCCGGAATCAATCCCCGTTCCCTTCGTCGTTAATTAAGAAGAACCAAATTTTTTACTTTTAGTCGTTTATTTGCAATTTTAGTTTTCTCAAGCAACCAAATCTCGCACGACCGCATTTGTTTTATTTATTTTTATCGCTGATTTTAGTTAATTCTTAATTCCCTTTTATCGTCCATGTGGAGACGGTACTCGTACTTTCACCGCTATATTACAATCTTTTTAAGTGCGAGAAAACTCACATCAATCACCTTCTTCTGTGTTGTTTTTTTCTTTGCTTTCCTCGCTAACCCCTTGACTCTCTGCCTCATCCTTCGTGTTCATGGCCTCCAACAACCGCTTGAGCAACAACTCCTACCTCTTTTGGGTTTTTCTCACTTCTTTTAATTCTGCCATAATCTTGGCATTCTCCTTGCTAAGTTTCCTAACATTTCTCAGTGTCAAATCAGTCTTTCTGGCAGTTCCAAAACCCACCTTACCACCACTATCATCCTCCTCCTCTTCATCCTCCTCTTCATCCTCAGTTTCCATTTTTTCTTCCAACTTTTTCTTTTTGGCCTTTTCCAAAACTGTGACTGCACTTTTGGTCTTTACCCTCTTCTCTATTTTCTGAAATACATTCACCCCATCAACCCTATATCCCTCCAGCAATTCCAGGATTACTCCTCCTCGCAGAACTTCTCATTTCCTTGGACACTAAAATTGGAAAATGTTCACCTTCCACATTTGTAGGCTCCATTCTTTTCCACTCAAACTGCAAAATAAAAAAATTAACAATTTATATTTTAAATACAAAGATCATCTTTTCAGATTCCTACATAGTAATTAACAACTAAATGATATTTATTACTTGTTCATTCTTGAAAATGATTTTGCTCAAAACTTCAAGTGATGTCTTTTTTACAAATTCCCACTTCATAGCCTTTGGTATTCGAGTCTCTCGCCCTTCAATCACACTGCATATATCTGCCTTGGCCAGTCCTGTGAAGGTTTCAAATGCCCAAACTTGTATGGCAATTAAACATCCTGTCAGTGTGATGTGTGTCCCTTTACATTTCTTTAAACTCTTGGCATTCGTCCTCATGTTATCCACCAACTCAGGCCAGACATCATCCCCCATGGATATTCATTAAAATCATCCAAGTTTTCAACCAAATTCACATACATTGTTGGTAATTCTCTTGCCGTGTGATTCCCAAACAAACCATGTGAGAGCACATGGAGCAATGCAAGCTTCACACCATCGTTTTGGTCATTGTCAGGATCTTCACTATTGTAATTCATTAAAGCATTTTGACAATCACTTCTTCTCACCCCAGATGTGTTTCCAAAATACTTTCTCCACAACGCCCCCCTAAAATTCTCTTCTACACGTGGTTTTCAACCAAATTCACATACATTGCTGGTAATTTTCTTGTCATGTGATTCCCAAACAAACCATGTGAGAGCACATGGAGCAATGCAAGCTTCACACCATCGTTTTGGTCATTGTCAGGGTCTTCACTATTGTAATTCATTAAAGCATTTTGACAATCACTTCTTCTCACCCCGGATGTGTTTCCAAAATACTTTCTCCACAACGCCCCCTAAAATTCTCTTCTACATGTGGTTTAACTCCTCCAAATTTAAGACCCAGAGCCATGCACATATCATTTTTTCTGAAAGTAACTAGGCTATTTTCAATATGAAAATGAATGGCATTTACCTCTTTCCTCCCATTCACCTTTTTTACGTAGTTGCACAGAAATCCAAGTTGAAGTTGTCCACTGATTGTGCGCTTCTCTTCCACATCCAATACCCAACCGAATACACTCCTCCTGAATTCAACCAATTCTTCAGCTTTAAGTTGTTGTTTTATCCTCTTCACTACCTCACTCAAACTGCAATAGCAATTAATCCTCATGCTTTCTACATTTTGCAGTTGTTTCTTTCCAAATTTTCTCTGTATCACCTAAATAAACACAAAACCATTCATTTCACACATTTCTTTTACAGTAGTGTAATTATTAATACAAATATCATGTGCAAATGTCCAAGATACATGCCAGATATTCATTGTCATTGCTGTGAAGCTTTCAAATTTGAGAATGTTCACATTCACTTTCTGCCACTTATATTTCAATAGCTTAGCACTAACATGTCATTTCTTCCAAAAAACAACTACCTGACATTTATTCCATTCTAAATATCTGACTTCCAACTTTTTCTCCATACTACCATTTCTTCCCTGTTTCATTGTACAACTTTCATTTTAAGGCATGTATGCTATCAACGTTTTAAACCTATTCAGATTCTGCCATATTCCCCTAGTTCATTTGCCTAAATTTTGGCAATATCAACTACAACCACCTCTGACACTGCCTTTTAAAAGTCTATACATCCTATCAATTTTTCAAAGTGCATTCATCAACGAATTGTCATATATTTGAACAACATAGTTTCTGCCATTTATGCCATTTAAAATTCCATGCTTTAACCATACTACCAATTTTTACATGTTGTTTTGATAAGTTTCATTTTCAGGAATTTATTCCATCCAATTTTTGACACCCTTTTTACATTCTGCCATTTTCCTCTCTTTCATGTATAATACTGTAACCAATTATATGTACAATATGCCATTCTATTGCATGCATTTCATCGGCACAACAAATTTCACAATTTGTACTGAACACTAGGAACAAAATCTTCCAGATTTTCGTTCCAAAGTCATGTACATATGCCATTCTTTTCCACTATTTACTAACACGTACAATTGCAACACAATACCGTCCGTAAACACATAAATTGATGTTCATAAGTACAACATACCAGTTCTGCTTTCTCCTGCTCTGTCTGTTGTCCTCGCGTCTGTTTCGGAACCTCGTCATCGGCCATCGTCGCGCTTCAACTGCTTCCCTTGTTTTCGTCTTCCACCTTTTTACGCTTCAGTTCTCGGAATCCATGTTGCACTTTCCGGATGGCAGAACGGGGTTGAGTAAATGTGGTGGTTGCCTTTGAAACTAGATTCCCGAGCCTTGCGCCGGAAAAATACTCCATAATAATTGTCGCGTCTCGTTTCCCTATGTTTTCGCCCTCTCTCCTCGCAGGATTCTGGCCGGATTTTTCGAAAACTTCCATCAGCTAAATGTTCAATTAATTTAATGTCGAGGCTAAAATGGGAAGATCAACAACTTTTTAATCCTACGAAACTTGACTCACGGAAGAAGTCTTATTTGTGCACATAAAATTGCATTTAGTCCTACTTAGGTAAAAAACTCTACGAAGTACTACATATTGGAGGCTTGGAATTGTGTACTATTCCCTACGTCCCTCTAAAATTTCTCATTTTATCTTTTCGCTTCGTGCCACTAAGATTGTCTTAATACCAAGTTTGGTAAAGTTTGTGTGGCTCTAGATCATTCTTACTTTATTCTTACTTTATCAATTCAAATTTCAATATCAACCAATAAAAGACTTTTTATTGATTTGCGTGTCACTCCCTCTTGTCCCATTGTTAGTGAGACGGAGGGAGTACTAATTACTATTTTGTGGGCTCTCTATACTTTGCTTAAAACTTCTATGATTGCTCAAAAGTTACCAAACATATATTTCAAAGCCGTCATTAATCTGGTTTTCCCAGAATTGAAGACGAGGTTTGGTTTCTAACAACTCCATAACATATATAGCTTTCTTTAATTGGTGATTCCTTGAAATTGCTCATAAGATATTTATGATATTGAGAAAGTTTAATTGGTCAGCATCATCCCAAAATGGAGTACACGTAAAAAACAATAAATAAAAGGGTACGTAGATCAGAAAGAAAAAAATGAAATCTGGAAATAGAGAGGTAAGAAACTGACGGCGGAGAAGGAAGAACACAGACTAGAGACTGTCACAAGCAGACCCACTTGGTTCTTTTATGTTATCAATCCATGAATGAATTGAAAAGGCTGGTCATGCCGTGAAGGTAGAGAGTAGGGAGTAGAGACCCCTATGGCCCAAGGTCACGATTGAAACGTACACTCATCTTACATCAACGGCTGTAACCATTTTCTTCATATACTCCCGCTGTTTTTGTCGCCTCTTTTTATTTGTTTTATTGAATTTGTCACATCATCATCGTTATCAGGGGTGGAGCCAGCGCCAATCCTAGCCGTGATCCAGCTTAAATTTAAAAAATATTCATATTTTTAGTGTAAAAGATTCTGTGTAATTTTTTTTTCAAATATATTCTTTGTACCAGTTCAGTACGGCTCAGTGCTCTGGCTCCACCCCTGGTCTTACTTCTGTACTAAAACACAGAGAGACTGTTTTCGGATGACTCATAGTGAAAATTGCGTCGAAAATTGCATGAACTAACTCTTGCTCCATAAAAAAGAAGCACAATTGTATCATTAAAGAGCGATCGTGAACCCTAGGAGTGTAGACTTAGAGTCAGCATTCAAACCAAATCTACTCGGTCTAAAACAGAAACAATTGCAACACACAAAGCAAACACACGGTTTGACAACACACAATACATTTCTCACATTTTTTTGAGCTAAAAACACTTCCAGCTACTCTGAAAATTCCTTCTGTGTTCATACTTGGTTTTCATACAAAGTAACATGACTCGCAAAACTTGAAACAGGCAAATTTAAGCCTAAAACGACCGGGACCGAAACTCTGCCTATCAAAAGAACTCTGAATATCTCAACATTCAAACCAAATCTACTCGGTCTAAAACAGAAACAATTGCAACTAAAGAGAAAATATTAATGAAATAAAATCTTTCCACAGAGCTCTTCCTGGTATGAAGGTGGTTCCGCGGGAGGACGAGCTTTTGCAATATGGGTGAATACCAACTCCACCACAGTCGGAATGACCAACCAAGGCTTCACAATCCAACCTCGATACAACCTCCCAGCCGCACCTCGTTCAATCGCCAACGCTATCTCCTTCGACGTAGTTGCAATCCCAAGCGTTAGGAGACTTAAAATCAGTATAATTTGCCGCTCCAACCTCATATTGATAAGAGCTTCGGAAAATCTCAACCCCTACAAGGAAGGGAGATGGACGCTAGGGTTCCTCTCTCTAGAGAGAAGAGAGTTCTTTCCTCACCTAAGTAAGAACATCATACCAGTAAAAACATCATTAAACCTAGCTAAAAACATCTTAAGTGAGAGACAAACGAATATTTACTCTTTCTTTTATTCCGTATAACTTTGTCTTCTTTTCTTTTCTATTATCGCAAAAATTTTATCATTTTCTTTTTAATGAATCAATTTGTTGTTGATTTATTTTTCTTTCATATGTAGAAACCTCATGATTTTTACCTTATTAGTTATTTCTCGTGTCAGACAAATTTCACAAATAAAATTTAAAGAGACAAAAGAGTATAAAATTCAACTCCGCATATTTTAATTTATACTCCGTATTTTTATACACGACCAATATCGTAAAGGCCAACGGGATCATTGTCCAGAGTCTAGACATTGTCCATGAGATTAGGGGCAAACTTTAGAATTCCATTTAATGAAGAAGAATTACACATTTGAATGGACTGATTGGACTCTGGAATGTTGATAAAAAAAATATTATCCGTTGCAACATTGAAATATATATAATATTCATGTAATTTATTTTGACTGCATTTTATTTATTAATGTATATGAATTATTTTTTAAAATTTTTATTAAATTCATCTCATTAATAAGTTTTATATTCTGATTTTTATTTTATTTTTATTATTACTGAATTAAATATAATATCGATCAAAGTTGCGCGTTGACAAACATGAAAAAAGGAATATTACAATTAAAAAAGAAAGGATGAAGTATGATATTAAATTTGAAATAAAATGATCTTATTCGGAGAGTAAATGGATCAAAAAGATCGACCATTCTAAATTATGAGTATCAAGTCAACCTCAACTGACAAACCAACCTCGTTCTAACACCATATCACGTTTTGGATTTCATCCACAAGATCAAATGTGATAAGAGCAGCAATCCATTCTCAAATTACAAATTATGGTATTCATTTAATATTTAATTATGGATTCAATCATTATCTAATACTCCGTAAGGATGTTTTTTCTTGGACTGTAATTCGTCCCAGACCAGACCAGATCAGACCAGACCAGACCAGACTTGGATAGTTATAAAAATACAAAGAAACCAGACCAGACCAGACCAGTTCAGACCAGACCATACCAGATCAGACCAGACCAGACCAGCAAATTACAGTCCAAGTAAAAACATCATAAGTGTTAACAATTACCTACGCGGCTACGCCTTGGTCTTTCATACTTACATTTTTCTTTCATGTCACTAAATTTATACATATTTTGGGGGAAACACGACCCCCTGTCTCATCCAAGATCATGTGTTCATTGGACTCTTGTACATTCACCCACACGCTCCATCTGACAATAATATTTTGTAAAATACAATTGAAATGTACAACAAATATTTACAAGTAAACGGGTAGCTCACATCACTCTTTGTATATGAGATTACTCCACTCTCACACTCCTCTCTCAATGAGTCACTCACTTGCTCAAGAGCTTTCCTCAAAACTCTCTCTTATTATCACTTGAGGAGACTCTCACTCAAGCATCTCTATAGGCTCTCACTTAAGGCTCTCTCTAGACTCACTCACAAAGCTCTCACACAAGAATGAGGAGTCTCACCCCTATTTATACTACTTTCCTCAAAGCTTCTGTAGAACTTTCTATACATCACTCCACTTCTAGATTCTTCTAAGAATTGTTCACTAACTTCTCTAATTTTCTAGAAGGATCTAGAGAACTCCACACTGCTTGAGAATGTTCTAGAGGCTACCACACGCTTCCCCAACACATATATGTTATATTATAAGAAAAAATATCTCAAATATGACTAAAAACATTTATATATTCTCAAATAGAACTATCATGTTTTTATTCCCAAAATAAGACTAATTAGTGTCATGTTTTGGAAGTATCAGACTTTAAACATGACAGTATTTTACAAATTTGATAGTAATATATTACTCATATTTTGGGAATAAAAACATGATAGTTCTATTTCAAAATTTTCAAACTTTTTTATTCTTATTTTGGAAATTCTTCCTATATTATATTGTTCGCATGTGGTCATAACCGACTTCTATCTTCATAATGACTACATATTTCTATTTTCTTATTAGTCGGACCACTTTCTCTTATGCGAGACTCTTGTTTGATAATTAATTCATATTCTCATTTTATCATTTTTTTCAGTTAACTTTTTTCCAAATGCATAGCTATTGATTACTCATTTTACTGTACATGACCGCTATTTCAACTATTTTATTAATATATTATATTTTAATCTATTCACTAATAATCAAATATACTTTTTGTAGTATTTTATGATAATTTTATACGTTTAGTTTTATACGTTTAGGATAACATTTTTGAAAAAAGTACATTCTGAGATCATTTCCATATTGTCAATATTTATGTGTATAAATATATAATCAGTAAAAGTTGGACACCATTAACTTTTTTTATCGTTAAAGAGCGGCTTTGTATTAAAAACGAGAACGCATAGAAGACAACCTTCAGACATATTTTGCAGATCCAATCTTGAATCCTAGGAGTAGACATAGAGTCAGTCACCCCATACAAAACAACCTGACTTGCTAAATTTGAAACGGACAAATTTAAGCCTAAATCGAACAGATCTGAAACCCTGCCTAGCAATAGGGATGGACTCGGTTTGGGCCGGGCCCGGTTCGGGCCTTGAACCGGCCGGGCCTCGGTTCAAGGTATGGGAGGCCCGGAACCGGCCCGGGTAACCCCCGGGTCCGGGCCGGACCTCGGTTCTTTTTTTTTTTTTGGCTTTTCCTAGTTAACCCCCAACCCTCCCCCTCACCCCCAAACCAACCCTAACCACCTCAAATGGCCCAAAATACCCAGCCCAACCCAAAAACTTTAAAAAAATCAAAAAAAATTGGCCCGGCCCGGGCCCGAACCGGCCGGGCTGGTTCACCTTTTGAAGGGCCCGAGCCCGAACCGCCATCCCACCGGGCTGGGTGGCCCGAACCGCCATCCCACCGGGCCGGGTGGCCCGAACCGGCCAACCAACCGGTTCACCGGGCCGGTCCGGGCCCGCACAGTAGCGGGCCGGTCCGGTTGGCCCGGCCCGAGTCTAACCCTACCTAGCAAAAGAACTCTAAAAATCCAAACATTCAAACCAAATTTTATCGGACTAAAACAGAAACAAGTTCTACTAAAGAAAAAATAATATTGAAATAAAATCTTCCCACATAACTATGCCTAGTATGAAGGTGGTTCCGGAGGAGGACAAGCTCTTGCGATATGGGTGTATACCAACTCCACCGCCGTCGGAGCGGCTGACCAAGACTTCACGATCCAGCACCGATACAAACTCTCAGCCGCAACTTGTTCATCCGTCAACAATGTATCCTCCGACGTAGTTGCAATCCCAAACGTTAAAACACTTAAAATCAGTATAAATTGCCGCTCCAACCCCATATATTGATAGGGGCGGCGGAAAATTAAATCTCAACCCCTACAAAGAGGGGTGACGGTCGCTAGGAGTTGTCCCTTCTCCATCTAAAAAAGGAGTTGCGTAAAAGTTTTTGGGACACCATTATCTTGAAAAGTCAAATTTAACTAAATAACGAGGGACAGATGGAGCATTTTGTGCTTTTTGTTAAATTAAAAAGGGAAAAAGGTCAGATAGGGTCTCGAACTTACAAAAAATATCAAATAAGGCCTTATATAGGATGTTCTGTCCGGCCGACGCCATTTGGGGCAGTTCCCGATGGAAATTTTCAATGAACCTTTTTAAGCATCTTATTCATTAAGTCTAGTTGACTCATACAAATTTTGAGCTAAAATTTCAATCAGGAAGGCATTCAAATAAATTCTTGAAGATAAGTGCGCAGTTATCTTCAAGAATTTATTTGAATGCCTTCCCGATTGAAGTTTTAGCTGAAATTTGGTATGCGTAAACTAGACTTAATGAATAAGATTCTCAAAAAATTGCATCGAAAAATTCCACCGGGAACCGCCCCATCGGCGTCGTCCGGACAAAACCTCCTATGTAAGACCTTATTTGACATTTTTTTGTAAGTTCGAGGCCCTATCTCACTCTTTTCTCAATTAAAAATTATGTAATCTT